TAGATAGATAGATAGATAGATAGATAGATAGATAGATAGATAGATAGATAGATAGATAGATAGATAGATAGATAGATAGATAGATAATGGGTGATTCTTTGGTTGACTATCCTGAGTTTTTAGGGCTTCCATGCGTCCACGGGGATCACACGCAATGAATGCAAACCAAGAATGGCCCAGTCTCCATTGATAAATTGGAAGCCTTTCCTGGATCTTTCCTGCAGGTTGAAAATGTGTTAGAATTGGCCCCGAGATTTCATTCTGTTAGCCAAATTGCTTGGGACAATATCTCAACCCTTAAAATTAACTCAATATTTGTTACAGATTCCCTAGCCGTGGGTGGATCATGGATAACATTAAAGATTTTTTTCAGGGCTGTTGCCACTTGGAACAGTCTCTAAGTGAGCTATTGTTAGTCAAGGACTACATATGTAGTGGGCAACCCAGTGGTGGGTTTCAAAAAAATTTGGAACCTCTTCTGTAGGTGTGGCCTGCTTTCCAGGTCCACTGGTGGAACCTCTTCTAACCGGTTTGGTAGATTTGACGAACCGGTTCTACCGAATAGGTGCGAACTGGTAGTAACCCACCTCTGCATAATATTGAATAATATAAAATAGTGTTGGTTTATGTAATGGTATGCATGTGGTTATTTGTATGAAAAAAGAGCAGGAGATTCTTTTAACAGCAATCCAATGGGCATCTTCAAAGACTGTGGCAGCCATTTTGCATTATTAAGCTCCTCCCCCCCAAAAAACTTGCATCAAGAGACGCACATTAAAATGCTGCTTTCAGCTACTCCCTATGCTCCCGTAGCAGATAAGTGTTTACTTTCCTTGTACAACCGAACACCTGTGGCGACACAATGTCTGGCTTTGTAAAGAGGTTTGCAACACTAATGTTTAATTCCTCTGCAAACGTTGCGTGCAAAATACAGACTTTGTCGCCGGAGTATAATCCAGCAAGCCAGGGGAGGACTGTATTTAACTCGATTTGAAAAGGGCAAGGTAAAATTATTCTAGCAAACGGTCCACAAATCTATTTTTATAGATATATCTACAGAGACATATAATGTATAATAGATGGCTATATCCATCTGAAATCATCATCATCACCATCTCTCTCTCTCTCTTTACTGTCTCTTTCTCTAATATCTCTACCTCCAGGGTCTGTCTATCTAACATTTCCCTCCCTCTTCTCCCCCTTTCTTCCTCCCTCCCTCCATAATTCTCCTTTTTTCCTCTCTCCCTCTATAATTCTCCTTCCTTCCTTCCTTCCTTCCTTCCTTCCTTCCTTCCTTCCTTCCTTCCTTCCTTC